CAATAATCAGTAACCACAGGTTGGCCCTGCTGCCTGTGCTCCAGCCCCAAGCACAGGCTCTTCCTCAGCTCTGAGCTTGATTTTGGGGCTTGTCACACTCCCAGGTGGTGGCACTTCTGTGCCTGTCACTGCAATGACCTCCCCAAGAGCTGCTGGGCTTGGCTGTCCTCAGAATGTGACACTGGGGCTGCAGCAGGGGGGTTTCATTCTTTTTGTAAAGGAAAAAAAAACCTTCCTGTGCTTCTGGGAAAGAATCAGCCCTTTAACAGGCTGGCTGGGAGCACTAGAGGTGTGTCACTCCCAGGAGAGTTCACTGATCTTGGCTGAATTCATTTGCAGCAAGGCACTAACCTAGTTTGAGCTCTGCTCTGGTTTTCCATCATTGAGTGGCTTCTGGAGTTTGTCTGGCTGAGTACCAGAGACTTAAACTCTTTAGATTGCTGCCTGTGAATCCACAGTTATTTTCCCCTTGTTTGACACATTTTTGTCATGCTTATCCAGGGGATCTGCAGTGAAAGCTGAAGTTCAGGGCTCCTGTTAACAAGAATTTTCTCCTTGACCCTTCCTCTCTTTCTCTTTCAGTGCCAGGTGGGTGGGAAACTCACTACAGCTGCTGCTCTGGAGCTGTGGGGTCACCAGGCTGCCAGGTTGCTAAAGTAAGTGATGGAACAACACCTCTTTATTCTCTGTGACATTTGTGCCCTGCTCACAGTGGCAGTGGCTGGGAAATCCTTGCTTAAGCCTTTAACAGAACAGTGGCTTCCCTTAAGGGGATAAAAGAAGTGCAACTTAATTTTTTTTTTGCTCTGCAGTGGTAGGAAAATCCAGTATTTGACACTCAGCTGTCTGGAGTGAGCTGGGTTCATTTATCCTGAGCTGCCCAGCTTGTCTACTTGAGGGACATGGGAAAGCTCATGTTCTTCAGTGAATCACAGAAGAAATGAGAAATAAAGGATTTCCTTTTAAAGAGCAGTCTCAGGGCCTTGGCAACAGTGCCAAACCCTTTTTCCCATCTTTTCCTTTCCAGATTCCCATGCTAAGGTAACTTTATCCTGGTGGACAGATTTTTTCTGACAAGTTTTCTTGGTTGTAATGAGGGGAGGAACCTTCCCAATGAGCATGTTGTAACTCCAAAATATCACAAAACTTCTTTGGAGGGAGCCCAGCACTAGAAAAAGGAATTAAGGACCTTCTCAGGTGTGGAGTTTGATGGAGCAGAGGGTCTGGGTACCTTTGCACAGGTGCTTTTTTCTTTCCCTTAAGCAGCAGGAGAGTTGGTGTGCCACCCCACATCCCCAGTCTGTCCTGTGCCTTTCTCCCAGGTCTCTGGGCATGTTTCTTGTCATTGTTTTAGTGGCATTTTGACATTTGGCAGCTGCCACACAAGGGGAGAACAAAAAGCTAGAGGTAGAAGGTGATTCTGGGCAAAATTCAAGGTTTGTTACAAATTTATTTGTTTACACCATAAAAGCCTGCCCTGCACAGTTGGATTGAATGGCATCAGGTTATTATTTTTTGTTCTTTTCCACATAAATTTAGGATTTTTTTTAAAAATCAGTTTCTCTGGGCACCCTGTGCCAGGGCCTGCCCACCCTGCCAGGGAACAATTCCTGATTCCCAATATCCCACCCAGCCCTGCCCTGTGGCAGTGGGAGCCATTCCCTGTGTCCTGTCCTTCCATACCAGTATTAAAAAGTCTCTCTCCCTCCTTTTTATAAGCTCCCAGTTTTCACAGCACCTTTTGGTAGATTCAAGATTGAATCCACAGGCTGCTCAGCATCAGAGCATGCAGTGAAATTTTTGGATATTAGCGTGTTAGGGAGCATAGAATCCTTCAGTTTTGATGAAATGCTTTGAAAACAGAAAATATTTGTAATGAAAACGTTCTCAGTAATTGGAGCAGTAAGCTGGTTAGAAAACTTGTGTGTGTTCAAGCACAGGGCTGGGAAATCCTTGTTTAAGCCTTTAGCAGAACAGTGGCTTCCCTTAAGGGGATAAATCAAGTGCAACTTAAACTGTTTTGCCCTGCAGTGGTGGGAAAAGCCAGAATTTGGCACTCAGCTGTGTGAGTGAGCTGGGTTTGCTGCAGTTAGGCAGGGAGGCAGGAGGTGGCAGGAGGGAGCTGTGCTGCTCCAGGGAGCCTGCAGAGGCTGCTCTTTGTGCTTCCTCAAAAACAGGAGCAACTTCCCTGCCCTCCTCCCAGCCAGGAAGAATTGGGCATTTTCATGACAACAGAATTACCTAATGGGGTTTTTTTCACTTCACTGCCCAGCTGTGTTGTGTCACACAGGGAGGGAAGGGCTGAAGCTGCCAGGGAGAAGTGTTTGGTGTCTCCAGGCTGCTGAGCTGCTCTCCCAATGCCTCAGCAGAGCAGTTCCATGCCATGGGTGCAGAGAGGACAAGTGCAGCCTCTGGCAGCAGTGATCCATCAGGCCTTTGAGCAGTGCTGCCTGTGGAATCTGGGAGAGTTTGGCCTCAGTGTTGGCCCAGCTGCCTCATTAACTTCAAGTGATGCAGTTCCTGTGCTCAGGCTGTACCTGCAGCAGTGATCTGTGCAGGAAAATATGCAAATCCTGCTTTGGTTTCCTCTCTGCCCACACATGGCAGCTTTACAAGGGCCTCAGTTCCTCCTCTCTCCAGCCTTTAATCCTGGGACAAACCAGAACAGTTTCATTCTTTGTAGGGTGAGACCTTTGGGAAGCTCTGCCCTGTGCTGGGCACTGCTGAGGCCCCACCTCAGATCCTGGGGTCAGTTTGGGCTCCTCATGACAGGAATGACATTGAGGGGCTGGAGCTTGTCCAGAGATGGGAGCAGAGCTGGGGAAGGGTCTGGAGCTCCAGGAGAGGCTGAGGGAGCTGGGAAGGGGCTCAGCCTGGAGCAAAGGAGGCTCAGGGGGCCCTTGTGGCTCTGCACAGCTCCTGACAGGAGGGGACAGCCCAGGGAACAGGGACAGGAGGGAGGGAACGGCCTCAGGCTGGGCCAGGGGAGGTTTAGGTTGGAAATTGGGAAAATTTCCTCACTGAAAGGTTTGTAAAGCATTGGAAGGGGCACTGATGGAGTCACCATCCCTGGGAGTGCTCAGGAAGCTCGTGGGTGTGGCACCTGGGGACATGGTTTAGTGGTGACCATGGTGGGGCTGCTGGGTTGGCTCGATGACCCTGGGAGTCCTTTCCAGCCTTAAGGATTCAGTGATTCCTTGGTTTTGGGCATAGCAAAACAGGCTGTGCCCAGGTTGCTGTGGTTGTACACAGATACATGGAGATTTAGGGACAGACAAAGCTTCAGCACAACGAAAAACCCCACTGGGGAATAAGGGAGGGAGAGCATCACCTCTGGGTGTGGTGCAGCTTGGTTTTACCAAAACCGTGTCAGCAGGCAAAAGGGCAGTCCCAGCTCTGCCTTGCCCTCTGTTACCTGTTCCTGCTTCCCCTTTAAACTTCCTCCAGCTCAGATCCCCTGCTTGCCAGGAGGGTTTCAGGGTAACCAGTGGGATCTGAGCTGTGGAGGTGTGTGGGAGTACCTGTGTTGCAACAGCAGCTCAGTCATGCACTGGCTAAAACCACTTGTGAAATCACTCGCTGAGTTTTCCTGCTGGATCTTGTTGACCCTGGAGCTGGGAACAATGCAGAGTGCTTGGAAATGCCCATTATTGCCTCAAGTGTGGTGGGCTGGAGCTGCTGTGGGTGTGGCTGGCTGGGTGTGGGTGCACACATTGCTCTGGAGTCTTGTCAGAGCTCAGTGCATCCCTCCGGGTGTCCAGAGTTGCCGAGGACCCCATCAGGGGGCTCAGAGATCCTGGCACACAGCCCAGAGCACCTGGGGATTTGATTGTGACCCCTGGAGCAAGCTGCCAGCTTTGTATGAGGACATGAAAGTCACACAGGTTTGAATGGTGTAATGATAAAATGATCACAGGGTGAAAATGTAGATTTTAGGATTTTGGGTATGGGGGTGATGGGGAAAAGATGGAGGAACTTGGGCATGTCCAGCCTTTCTTCTTCTTCTCCTCTATCTCCATTTTCTGCAGCGATGTTGGCACTTTGGGATTGGTTTAGAGTAGAAGTGCACTGTCTAACATAGGTGATAGGTATTGGGAATTAGGTGTAAATATGTAGTTTGTAGTATAAAAAGACAACACAGAGTGCCTGTGGCTGCCCTGCTGAGCAGATCCGGGTTGGGCAGAAAGAAAATTTTATAGATAAGAATTAATAAACAACCTCAAGACAGAAAAGTGAAGAGTCCAGACTCGTTCTTCAGTCGTGTGGGCTGAAGCAGAGACATCCTGCACATCTCAGGGCAGCAATTACCAACCAAAAACCCAAGAGAGTCTGGGCTTAGGATCCTGCACCTGGCCTTGTCTTGGCCACAGGAACCAGGAGCTGGAGTTCCAGCAGAGCCAGGCCTCAGTGTGACCCTTCCTGATTAATTCTCTTCCACACTGAAAGCTCCTCCTCCCCAGACATGTCCTGCTCCTCCATGTGCTGTCAGTACGATGCCACCAGCTCTGATGTGCCACTGGAATCAGGGCTGCCCATGGTGTGTTTGCTGTGGCTGTGAACCTCTCAAAACTTATTCCTCATTAAGAAATCATTAAAACCCCACTTTGGTTGAAGTGGAGGTTTGTTGGAGTGGGCTCTTTGGCTTCTTGTTCCTCTGCTCACCAGCTGTCATTCTTTTCCCCTCAGCAACACGTGCACGATGGGCGCAAGGAGAGCCTGGATGGTTTTGTCAAGACTTTTGAGAAGCTGCCCACAACTGATGGCTACCCTGGGATCTATGCCTTAGACTGTGAAATGGTGGGTCCAAAGCCAAAGCAAAGCTTTTTGGGGCTGCCTGAGGTGTGACACAAGTGGCTGGAGGGAAGCTGTTTGCTGACCTGATTCTCTCTGTTCTGAATATTGGTGCTGGAGGTGCAAATGAGCTCTTATTGATTGCTGTGTTTGGCTTGAGGGCTGTGCAGCCCTGGCAGGCTCTGACTGGCCCACGCTGGGCAGTGCTGCTGCCTGGCCTTGCTGCACCAGATGTTTTGGAAATTTTTTTGGGGCATTTTGGACATTTTGGGAGCTGCAGCCCTTGGGTGAGGGGCTCCACTGATCCCCCACTGTTCTGGCCTGTGCCTCTCATCACATCTGCCCTGTTCTTGCAGTGCTACACTAAGCAAGGACTGGAGCTGACAAGAGTGACTGTGATCAACTCAGAGCTGAAGGTGGTGTATGACACCTTTGTCAAGCCAGACTCCAAGGTGGTGGATTACAACACCAGGTGAGGATGGTCTGCCTTGGCACAGAGCTCTGTGCCCTCTCAGGAACTTGTTTAAACTCCACTGACCACCAGTCCCTAAGGGCTGAGGGGCTTTGAGGTGTGTCTTCAAGTGAAGGACCCCCCTGTTCTGTGCTGTTGCTGTGCAGGTTCTCAGGTGTGACAGAAGAGGACCTGGAGAACACGAGCATCACCCTGCGGGATGTCCAAGCCGTCCTCCTGAACATGTTCAGTGCAGACACCATTCTGATAGGGCACAGCTTGGAAAGCGACTTATTTGCACTAAAGGTAACTTGGGCTCTGCCTTCACATCTCCCTGGGCTGCTTTCCCACCCTGGGGGGGTGTAAGGTGGAATTTAGGAACTGGTTATTTCCAAGGATCGGGGGGTGGTCTCACCTCAGGTCCTGTGTGCAGTTTTGGGCACCACAATATAAAAAAGCCATGCAGACATTAGAGAGTGTCCAGAGGAGCTGTGAGGATGGGGAAGGGTCTGAGGGGCCTCATGAGGAGCAGCTGAGGGTACTTGGTTTGTTCAGCCTAGAGGAGACTGAGGGGAGGCTCACTGTGGTCTTCAGC